TGTACTGTCCCACTACATATATAGTTTCCATATATATATACATATATATATGTTTCCCTCTGCTTCCAGTCTTTATGCTAAGCTAGGCTAACCATGTCCTGTCCACTTCTTTTTTTTAATGGACAAATATGATATCGATATTCTCCACTCACTCTCGGGAGCGCATACTTTGGCCAGTGCAGAGGTAAAGTGGGTGGATGTAATATAATACAGGAAACATCAATCAACTGTACATAGACAGCAGCAGGTCAAAGGTCAAACTTCTGCATTGATTGCCTTCAAGTCTTTTAAATAAGACATTGCTTTTGTCGAAGTGGAATTTAAGCTAAACAAGAGACACACAGGTTTTATAAATGTTTATCTTCAGGAATTATGGCTGTCACTTAATTTGTATTTTACAAAGGCAGCAAACAGCCTCATCTTTATGCACAATTTTTCCATCTGTGGTGTTGTATCCAAAATCCTTCCTCTCATTACTTCTCGGATGGTTCCCCATTCGAGCAGCATCCCCTACAAGGCAAAGGCCTTTGGCAGTCTGTTGGCACTGTGGATTTTTAATTATCATGACAGATTGAATAATTAATTTGACCCATGTTTTAACAGTTCAGATTTTAAATGTAATCTTTGTTTGTTTTTTTCATTATAAATGACCTGTGGCATCAGATATATTTCCTCTTGATTTGATTTGGATAAATGACAAACTTGTATCTGTGGACACACACTTTGAGCACATTTAATAATCTAGTGCCAGGTGGCTGATTAGGGTTTAGATGGTCCAGCAGTTATATCACACCCATACACCCCTCTGGGATTTAGCCTTCACCTCTGTTGGTGTGTGTAAAGCAGTTGAGTGAGTGGTGTGTATTCAAGTGTGCAAGCGCATGTCCTCCAGCTTCATGCCCTCCAGCTTCATGCCCTCTCTGTGTGTGTATGTGTGTGATTGTTTACGTTCATGGATGTCTCACACTTTGCTACTTGTGTGCAGCTGGGTGTGTTGCCAAAAAAATGGACTGGAGTGTGTCCCCGTGTGTGTGTGGGGGTGTGTGAGAGTGTGAGCACCATTATCTATAATTCTGCGGTTCAAGCCCAGGCAGCCACTTTTAGCTGTGCCCTGTCTCACTCAATCATATGATAATGATCAACATTCAGCACCTCGCTCTCTCTCGCTCTCTCTCGCTCTCTCTCGCTCTCCCTAGCTCTCCCTAGCTCTCTCTCGCTCTCTCTCTCTCTGTCTCTCTGTCAACTCTGCTCGCTTTACCACAGTATCTACACTTCCCTCCTGTCTGTCTGTCAGTGTCGGAAGCCATGTGACCCCTCTTAACCTCCGTTTCCTAAAATAGCGCTGTGCTTATTGTGCACAATGAACGGTGAGCAGGAACAACAAAATCGGCTCCTGTTTGTGTTTTTTTTTTTCTTTAAGGAAGGGTCCAACACTGAGCACTGGTGGCTAATTGGCTGATACCAGCGTCACTTCCTGGAAGTGGGGTCACGCCATGACGAGTGAGCACCTGGGGGGAAACAGGGGTGATTGACCAGGGCTTGTTTTTACCAGTCACTGACCGGCAGGCGGACAAAAAAGGTGGAGCAAGGGATCTGGGCTTGTGGCAGTAAATACCCCCACCCCCACCCCCCACCCAACATCACCACCACTCCCACCCCCTCCCTTAGGGCCTGTGGCATTGACAGAAACAATGACTCAGCTGTAGAATGGACAGAAATTGATTTTCTGCAGAAAGGTTAAATGAGCAGGCACTTTTTTTCCCCTCACTGTAGAGCTTGTTTTTGTTTTGGCCGTTGGCTACTTTTGCGATTTTATTGTCTGTGCCTTCGTCTTGAGGCAGAAGTCAATCTGCAAGTTTGTGATGGACATACCTTAATGCAGTTTTTTCTCAATTTAAAATAGTGTCTGGCTGTTAGAATAAAGGGAGGGTGAGGTAAAAGCCTCCATTCATTTGGCCGTCTTTGCACCTGTCATCATCTTAGTGGCAGAATGGACGAAACTCGTTGCCATGGAAGTCGTCTGTGTGTCTCGTTTTGAAGGAGTGCGTGCAGAAATTGTCATGCAAGTACATTATGAAAGGACCAAGTCTCCTACCCCGTCAACATATACACACACACACACACACACACACACACACACACACACACACACACACACACACACACACACACACACACACACACAGAGCAACACAACACAACCTCTTGTGATGCATTCCTTTCTGACGTAAAACTCGCTGCCTCTGGGCTATAGGGGAAGCACAGGATGTCTGAGAGAGAGAGAGAGAGAGAGAGAGAGAGACACAAAGACTGAGACAACAAAGCGAGAAAGAGAATCATTTATATGTGTAGAGAAAAGATAAAATTCATATTCGTGTAGTGAAAGAAAAGACAGACTGGAGAAAATAGATTTTTTAGTGAAAGACTCAAAAGAAGAAAAAAAAGAAAAAAGGAAAAGAGTGGCGAGCCCAGAAAGTCGGAAAGTGACTGCAAATAGCAGGAGTCTTACTTCCCTATAATAAGTCAAATTCTTTGCTGCTTCTCCTCCCTGTGTTTGACGGCCAGCCTTGCCCTGAGCGGTGCCCAGCCTGCCAGCGAAGGGGAAGAGAGGCACGGCTGCCGATCATACTGAGACATGTGATACATAGTCACACCACAGCAACCGACATCCTCAGCATTATATTCTATTTTCATAGATCTCGCCTGAAGAACCTTCCAACACTGTGCGGTTGCAGAGCGCTGGCTGGTTACCAAACTGTGTTTACTTATAGGTTATTACATTTTACAGTGTGCACTTTTCTCATTCTCGATTTCTCTATTTACGTCCATGTTTACAGACCGACTGTATGTGGATCAGTACTGAAAATCACCAGTCATCCAGATCTGATTGATCTGCTGTCAAGTAACAATCCTCAGTAAATCCAGTCACTGATTCTGCTTTTTACTGAATCCTGGTGCCGATCATCATCATCATATTGTTTGATAAGTTGAAAGCAAAAACACCATTTCCAGTAGATGTGGGGTTTCATAAAGTCCCAGTGAGCATGGTTTTGGTAAACTATAGACATTTAGTCAAAAATGACTAGATGCAAAAATAATTAGCCCATGCAAATATGTCTGTTTATGTATGTATGCTTATATGTTATATAAATATATATCCATCCCAAAGCCTGTCAATATACGTTGATATTATACAATAGGGTCCAAAAGTCTGAGACCACTTTCCTTTAATGTGAAGAAAATCAATGTCTTGTGCACATGCGCAAGACGTACAAAACTGGACCATAGTGCTACCAGAGGTCAAAAACTCCACAGGGCACCTATAAAACAACACTTGATCTTTCTGGTATTATGACATAATCAGTGTTTTGATTTTACTGTAACCAGCATTTAAACCAAAGTTTGAAAAAGTTACAGCCCATAAAGGCATTAGTTTCTCAGGCACTATACTCAATGCAAATCAGCTGATCCCTGCAGAACCATGTCTGCAGAAACAGCTTCTAATTGTGACCCTTGGTTGGTCAACTTAAAGAAAACCCTTTTTTTCACTGGATCCGTGGAAATGGCGTTACCTCATTCTTCATTTAAACTGCACCAGTGTAGTGTTCTTTTACCTCGGTTGAAGAACAGTATTTGCTTCTGACATAAATGGGAGCCCAAGAGGCCCAAACAGGTATTTCATCCTGACAGATTTAAACGAGTTGGTTTTGTTTCCTTTGTTTGACTAATGAAATACTGCACACTATATTTCTTTGTTGCAACTTTGTGTTCTCTGCTCAGATAAATATGAATTATTTCACTATTATTTCTTTCACTGCAAATCCTAAACCTTAAACAAACAAAGAAGTGACTACATAGAGCAGCACAGTGTCCACCAACACAAATAAGAACCTGCCTATCACCGAAATAGGAACTGAAAGATTGTTGTGCGATAGCAGCACGAGTCTGATTTGGATTGTTAACCAGTAGTGTATCAGTTTTGAAATTTCATAAAAGATGAAGAAAATCTTTTATTGTCCCAGTATGTTACAGTATGTTTTTTTCATAAAATATGATTATCTAATATTCAAAAGTTTTTTGTCACATGCAGAGGTTTAACTAGCTAACATTAAGTTAAATAGATTTTTTTTTATGACTTATTGATATTCACTCTGACCACTGGCATAATGCGTGCATGTTACGCCCAGGTACAACAAAACCCTGCATAGTCAGACTGGCTCTTGGACAAATCCCGGTGGGCCAGTGGACCGTCAAAAAATATTCATAACATGTTTCCTGGTCCACTCAGTCTCTTTACCGGCCCAATCGTTGTGCCTGTCATTTGGGGTGTGCATGATAGGATGCTACATGCATGTTCTGGACTTCCCGACCTGACCCAGTATATAATACACTGATGCACTGGAGCTACTGAACTCTAATTTTGAAAACATTGCTTCCTCTCCATTGGCCCATGTGACTTACATATTAAGCCAGTGCACTGACGACACAGGTCAGTTGAGGATGGATGCATCAGTTTGGCCCTGCTCCCAGTCATGCATATGATCACGACTCAGCATGCCAGATAAACCGTGCTATACTCAGAGCCAGTAGAAATGAGAAATTATGTTTATGCGTTGCAGCCAATCGCCTAACACTGATAATCTCAACCATTAAAAGGGGCGGAGATGTATGTTTTCACATTGATAAATCTAATGCAAATGAACTGTCATTGGATATGTGGAAATGTGTTAGTCACCGTGAGTTTGGATCAGAGTGGCCTAAAAACAAGAGGAAGAGGAAGAGGAAGTGAGAAAGAAATGGAGAATGTGTGAATGTTTGTGTCGAAGACTAAGCTCAGTTTAGTATGACTTTTTTTCTCAGTTACAAGCAAGAAATGTACACAATCTTCATAATGATACATTTCATTGAATTATAACCACTCCTCATATTTAACTGTTTAAAACCTTGTCTTTCTTTCCTCCTTCCCTCTCTTCCTACCTACGTTTCCTTCCTCCCTCTAGTCCTCCTGGCTCAGCCCATAGAGAATGAATGTATGGAGGGGTTGACATTGAAGATCACTGACTTTGGCCTGGCGAGAGAGTGGCACAAGACCACCAAGATGAGCACCGCTGGCACCTATGCCTGGATGGCCCCTGAGGTCATCAAATCCTCCACCTTCTCCAAGGGCAGCGATGTCTGGAGGTTAGTGCTTGTGTGTGTGTTTCTGAAGTCTCTAAAGCTCAATGATATTTAGCTGCTGTGTAATTTACAATGGAATTCAGCGGAAGCAAATCCAGGCTTTTTATTATGTGCGCAGGTGTGCTTCCAAGGAATTTAAATTATCAAAGCCTGTTGTGCCCTTCATCATTTCTAAGAAAAGGGGATATGGATTGAGTCGTGCCACTGTAAAGGAATAGTTCAATATTTTGGGAAATACCCTTATTCGCTTTCTTGCTAAAAGTTTGATCAGATGTTAATGCCACACTTATATGTGGACCCTAAATATGAAGCTAGGGCAATTAGCTTAGATGAGAATAGGAACTGACAGAAGGGAGAATCAGCTAGCATGGCTCTGTCCAAAGCTTTAAATATCCACCTACCACCACCATATACTTTATATACAGTATATTTATACGCATATATACTATGTTTAACTATGCTACAGTGCATAAAGTTTTAAAATGTTAAATGTAATGCAACAAAAAAGTCATAGGTTGTCTTGGTAACAGCCAAATATTATTGCTTCACCAAACCAGAATTTTGACTTGAGATTTGAAAACTCAGGTTTGATCATGAGCCAATAAATAAAGCAGCAAGTCTGACTATCCACACTTTAATAGCAGTCTCTGATAAAAGTGCTTGCTGACTGATATTAGTGTTTCTATGGTGACAGAGACCTCTCTGATTGAGAAGGATTTACAAAGCTTGTGGGTAGTGCAGGATTTCACAAGTATGTTTGGCATAAAACATTCATTGCTAATGAAATTGAAATGACACTGAGCAGTGGTCTTTACTGACAAATATTTTGTGGTTTCTCATTTACTGACTGGCTAATAGCCAGTGCACCTTTAAAATATACATAATTTCAGCTCTACTGCAGATAGTTTCAGCTCTACTGCCGATGCCTCTTACTGTTCCAGTCACACCAATGTAGCCACTCTAGAAAAAAGGAATTTCACATGTGGAGTTTGAAAGATGTGGGAAGTCCCCCAACTGCATTATTAAATCTTGGACATTCAATAATTGTGTACTAATTATCTGCGGTTCTACATCAAGACAGTGGACCTGCTGCAGAGGTCTGTGGACAGAAAACATGATAGAAATAGAGGGGAAAGGGTGAAAGTGCAGAGAAGTGAGGCTGGGGTGGGGGTGGAGGGGGCAGTGATGAAGAGATGGAGGGACAGAGTGATTGATTGCAGCAAGGCCGCTGCAGCCATGTGATGGCGTCTCTTCAAAGAGCTGCTCTGTGCTTTGTTGTGGGACATGTGTGCTGCACACTGTCCCATTGTCTCCAGTATAGACAGAGAAGGAGGCCACACACCAGACCGAACCACAACCTTTTATCTGGGAATAGTTGTGTGTGTGTGTGTGTGTGTGTGTGTGTGTGTGTGTGTGTGTGTGTGTGTGTGTGTGTGTGTGTGTGTGTGTGTGTGTGTGTGTGTGTGTGTGTTTGTGTGTGTGTTTGTGTGTGTGTTTGTGTGTGTGTTTGGCCACATCTACACAAAAAGAGAAAATCCCTTAATTATGGTTAGCGGTTTTATAATAATGACTTAAACAACTGTGTGATTTGTTTAGAGAGGATTCATTATGGCTTTTAAGTGTCGAATATGAATTTGCATTTGCAATGAAGAAAGCAGGGGAATATATATAAATTATTTATTAAAGCAATAACACTTTCATGGCTATGCTGCGTTGTGGTTATAACAGTTCTTCTTATATGCTATGGTTTAATTTTAATCCTGTGGATTTGGACCATTTCATCCATTCTTTAAGGGTTCTTTGCATACCCATACAGAGTGAAACCAATTGAGCATGCTGCTACAGAGAACCTTTTTCAAAGTGTCCTTGAGAACATCAAAAAGGATTCCGCTATGGTGCCAGCTACTTATGGAATTTTCTGGTACTTTAAGGAACCCTATTCAGTGAGAGTGTGTAGTTTTTTTTACTATACTAATGGGCTGAGGCCCTTCTCACTCATCTCACACATACATCCTCTCACTTTCCATCTCCCTCATCTATTGACAACAAACCCACATAACCTCATTTTCACAGCAATCACTGCACAATCGGGAAAACAGAAAAATGTGGGAGTAGCAGTCGGGCAGGCAGGAAGCCCTGCTCCGAAAATGAACAGTAATCTTTGTTCTACTATTCTTTCTCATTTGTCCACGGCCGCTTGTCTCTAAAAGCTGCCACGCGGAGACGGCGACTGCCTTGGGGTGAGCCGACGAGCAGCAGTTTCTGCACAGTCACAGTGTGTGGAAGTTGTAATTAAAGACCTAAATAAAAAAAGGCTGCGGCCTGTGCTCTCCACTTAGCGAGCCTCCACAGTGCGTTCAGTCAAGACCGGGCGAGGGCTAATTGACAGTGTGGAAGATCCAAGTCCTTCACCATGCTTCATCTTCTTTGGGCACAGGGCTGCTCCCATTGTGTGGGCCCAAAAGTCTGTTTGTGTTTGTGTGTGTGTGTGTGTGTGTGTGTGTGTTCGTACGCGTTCTGCATGCATGAGTTCACACAGCTTTGCAAGCACGTGTTTCATCAAGCAAAAATAGCTCCACTGCACAAATGTGTCTCGGTTCTGTACTGTCAATGCTAGGATAATGAATTTGAAAATCATAATGTGTTGTGCAAAGCAAGACGTAGGATTAAGATTAGCCTTCTTTCATCTTGAAATATCTAAACACCATAGATGACCAAGTGTGTAAAGGTGTTATCTTGTATGCCCAGTTCAGAGCTAAATGAAACACTATCCCTTAAAAAGCGTCACATATAGTATTTAGTCTAGAAGTAGTTGTTTGTAATTGTGTGCTGAGAACTCAGTGGAGACTACTTTGATTAGTTTTGTCACCTTCTCAAGTTACTGTCTAAACTAGAAATACCTCCTCGTGGTTTTATGCCTCTATCAAGCAGCTGGATATCAAATGTCGTCACTTCATTTTATCCTTATAGACATTTGTGTTAAACTGTGTCATAATAAGTGTCTGAATTTGTGAGTTTGGCCAAAAATGTGTTTTGTGAGGTCACATGGTGTCAGAAGGCATTCCTGATATATTCCATTCACAAGACCTTGAACTTTGACCTTTGAACACAAATATCAAATAAGTGAAATGTCGCGTCGACAAGAATGGGACGGACAGACAACTCGTAAACAATATGTCTCTGGCTCAGACTGTCACCGGCGCTGAGACATAAAAGTCAATATGAATTTAAACCACCTATATTCTCAGGTAAAACCTGCCTAAAATAAGCTTGAAGTTATATTAGTCTATTATGTCTTTTATATTAACAAAGGATCAAATGACTATGTATCTCTACAGTTCCTCTTAGCTTTATAGAGTCTTTTAGCCTCCCTCAGCTTGTTGTTTTGGTTCTACGACCCACAGTTTTGGTTCAGTTTGTGGAGACCAAAATAGAATGAATATTGGTCTTACATTCATTACATATTTAAAATGGGATAATACGCCAATGTTGGGTTTTCAGCTTGTTCCACTTCCCTGAAAAAATGTTTTAAAAATCAACTAGTCCAGCTTTAAAGCCACTAGAATTCAAAGATTCCAGTCTTTTGCACCCCCTAGTGGTCGTATCCAAAAAGCAGCTGTGGCAGCCCACAGATCTGATCCGTGAACATTGAGTTGAATGATCTGCAAGTAAGACTGGAGTGAACTGGGATTTAAGATAATCCTCGTGCTGGTAATTTAAGACTCATTGAGCTGTTTTTGCGGTAAAGTCCATGATTAACCATAATGCTATTTACTGGAAGGCTTTTACTGTGAAGCTGCTGCAGGAAGTATTTAGTTTGCACTGACAGCTCATGGATGTGAAAACATTCTCACATGGCAGTGGACCAGAAAGTAAAGTAGCGTAAACACAGATAGTCACACATAGTCATTGTATTAAAAAGTTCTGAAATGAAATGAAAATTTAGTTTCATATTGACATATTAATATATTTAAATATATTTAAAATGCTGATATATATGTTGCTAGATCCTGTATAACAGACTTGATTCAGGATATATACTGTGTCTAATTTTGGCGAGAGTTTACGGTCTCACGCCTTGTTGTGTGTGTTTTTCCAGCTATGGAGTTCTGCTGTGGGAGCTGCTAACAGGAGAGGCACCCTACAAAGGCATTGATGGACTTGCTGTCGCCTATGGAGTCGCTGTCAACAAGCTGACCCTGCCCATCCCTTCCACGTGCCCCGAACCCTTTGCCCAGCTCATGTCAGGTAGGACATGTGTTTGCATGTGTAGAAATGTAATTGAATGTGCTCACAGCACTGTTAAGGCTGCAACTCTCGGTTCGGTGGTGTGAGAGTACTCTTGCGTGAGATCACTGGTGTCCCCGGCACGCTCTCTTTCCATTTCCTCAAAGCTGGGTTGAAATTGAGAAAACAAATTCCTGTATGCTAATAACCTGGCCATAGAGAGGAAGTGTTTTGTGCTGGAGCTGTCAATATGTTTGTACCCATTTATATTTGCAGCTCTTGTGCTGTTAGGCTTCAAATTAAAGAAAAATATCACCTTGGTTCTTTCTAACATGCTATCAGTCTGTCATCGCCCTTGTTCCAGACATGCATCTGCCAAAAATCAGTTTTTACATTCTTTCCACATCGCCGCCTCCCTTGATTTGTTGTCTTTTACGGTTGTCTTTAAAAAAAATAAAACAGATCAGAGCACAAAACCACCGATAGCCACCTCAGAGGATTAATTAATTATCGGATTGGTTTTTGATCTGCTTGTAATGCCCAAAGTGTTGCAGCAAATTATGCGAACCCCCTCACAGCAAGTTAATTAAGCGTAACACTTTGAATAAGTAATCATCTTGACTCTAGATTATGTTCACACAAGCTCACACAAGCGCCTGAAATATGTGTAAATAAAAATTAGAGGCGTTGCAGGATACTCATTCAACATGAAGGGTAATAAGTGCAGAAACATCCAACTCGGTAAATCATCTGAGTCTGAAAATGCTTTGAAAAAGGGTGGTACAATTTGACTTCTTTTAGTGCAGATCAGTGTGTTTGAGGATCATGGTGAATCAGTGAGTGACTTCCTTCTTTCAGGTCCCTCAATTCAAGAAAACATTTGAAAGAAGTGAAACTGTGCTGGAAACAAATGAATTTGTCTGATTTGTCTTGTTTGGTGTCAGATTTTTCCATTTGTATTAAGGAAACTCTTTGTAACTTGAGCACACAGCTGGATTATAGTCTTTCCAACACAAAACCCCTTAATACCTGTTCTGCTCTGCTGTGGCCCTTTGCTTATTTATATTATTTTGTGCCAGTGTGTGGTCACCTATGCCTTCATGCATAATATACGAGTATGTACGAGTAATACCCCAGGAGTGCAGGTCTATAAATGAAACGCTGTGGCGTGGAACCTGGTGTCTGACTGTGTCTGGCGTATGTGTGACAGAGTGCTGGGACCAGGACCCCCACCGCAGACCCAATTTCGGCTCCATCCTGGCCCAGCTGATGGCCCTGGAGCAGCAGGTGAAGGAAGAGATGCCGCAGGACTCCTTCCACTCCCTGCAGGAGGACTGGAAACTGGAGATTCAGGACATGTTTGATGAACTCCGGGCTAAAGAGAAGGTAAGGCAGGGCACGATCAGGGCATGATTGAGTGACTATTGTGTAGCTCTTTTTACTGGTGTACCTCCAGGCTTCTAATCTGTTGTTCTATACTGCTTACTTATACCACTTAGTGTAAATGAAAACATGTCGTTTGATGCTAATTTTATCTTTTGAACCGACTGAATATATTTGTGATGGTGTTGCTGTTGAGCTGACAGAGAGCCAAGGTTGATCAGCTAGTTTATCAAAGCGTAAAGATGATCAAGGTCGAGGTTGTCAAACCTTGTAAATACTATAGCTGTGATTGCTGCTTCACGTCATCACCAAACCTGAAACAAATCCCTTTATAGTACATCACAATTATACTGATCTTATATCCATCTGAGCAAACCATTTGTTAACTGATTGATGTATCTGTTAAATTAAGGCGAAACAACTAGTGTGTTCATCAAAGATCATTTAATTAAAAGTCCCATTTTGTATAAAGGTAGATATCCATGTGTTGTTTGATTATAAAGCAGGTCAAGGTTCTATATTAATACTGTGAAAGTATCAAAGCCTCAGTCCACAGAGAAATGCACACAGCCTGTATTCAGAAACTGAGCCTTAAAACCAGCCGCAGCAGTCACCACTTTCAGCCATGCCCCAAGCCCCGCCCACCTGGACCCACCATCCAACCTTGCAGGATTTGGTTTCTCTGAGTGTTTACATGAAATCTGCTATATTTTTATTGGATCACTCAGAAAACAGTCAGCCAATCAGAAAAGAGTCTTAGACCCTCTTCTCTGCTGATTGGCTCACAGACCTGTTGTTACTAGAGCTCCAGAGAGAAGCCTGAGAGAGGAGATGTAAAACTACATTGAGATAGTTTGTCGTTCTGAAAATCTCAAATATATCTTCTTATGGATCAACACTTCAAATAAAAAACAGGAGAAGAGGAAAATATGGAGCTTTTTAAAGATACATCTTTACAAAACTGAGTCATGGGTGTATATTCCTCAGGCATAAACCTACTAATATCAAACTTTAAAGTAATTTATAATGCATAGCTAGATGAGATATTGTAAATAAATATATATAGCAGCTATATCTGCCACCATTACTTAACCTTTACATTATTGAATCATACCTGAAAGAGAAACAATTTATCTCCACAAACAGCACATCACAGAAACATTAATTTTACTTTTGGATGTTCATTTTACTTTGAACTTTGTTTTGGCTTTCATCAGTGTTTAATGTAAGATCCCTGGAGGATAAGCTCGCATTCTGAAACCTGTTCAGTTGTGCCAACAACGTGAGATCAAACACTAATCCGTGGGACATCAAATAAAATGTCAAGCGGCAGTTGTGAGCTGTCTTGCCACTAATACTGATGAAAGATTTCATTGCATCCAACCTCTTAAGCATCTCATTTCACTGGCACCCAGGAGGAGGTAAGACTTAGAAGGAGGTAGAGCGGGTCGTCCACTAACTGGAAGGTCAGTGGTTTGAATCCTGCACCTCCAGTCCGTGTGTTGTCGGGCAGGACACTGAACCCCAAATTGCCCCTGATGGCTGTGTTTGGGTGTGATGTGGTGAATGTGAAAACACTTGAAAGCTATGTTGCTATTTAACTTCTCCTCACCTCTTTCGTCCGCCTGCCTTTCGTCCTCTATCAGGAGCTACGATGCCGCGAAGAGGAGCTGAAGCGAGCGGCTCTGGAGCAGAAGTCCCACGAAGAGTTCCTGCGGCAGCGCGAGCAGCAGCTGGCCCAGTGGGAGCAGGACGTGTTCGAGCGTGAGCTCAGCCTCCTCATCCTCCACCTGAACCAGAACCAGGAGAAACCCAACGTCAAGAAGAGGAAGGGCACCTTCAAGAAGCACAAGCTCAAGTGCAAGAACGGCGAGAAGATCAGCATGCCCCAAGGTGTGTGTGTTTGAAGTGTCTTTAGATTTGTTCTGTCACAAATCAACCATTAACTAGATTTTGTCAGCCAGAAGTCTTGACTAGAAATCCCATTTCAAGAACCATTACTGGCTCAGAGGCAACAAAAACAACAACAACAAAATTAAAAAAAGAAAAGTACAAGAGAGCAGAGAAGTGGAAGTGCGGGAGGGAGCATTGTGGTGCAACTGTTGTAATTTTTGGCTTTGCTGAAGGTTCGCATCAAGGCTGGACTCATGTAGTTTCACTGGAGGATGATTTTTTGAATTGTTTCCTCATATTTTCATCACAAGAAGTGTCTAAAGTCACAAGTCTTCAAAGTGTTCTCTCACACTTTATTCTGAAAAGCCCCTGAAACAACATTCAGACCCTGGTTAGACGTGGACGTGACTAAAGCACTGATCCCGTGAAAGGCGGATCACAGCTCCGACTTGTTGACATCTGCACTGACCAACACTCTTCTTTCTGTGCTCCTGTTTTCCCTCTCGTACTCAGCTGGCTGCTGTTCCTTACATATCCTCTACTATCACAAAATCACACCGCCTGCTGCAGTTCCCATCCACTGTGTTTCAGTGTGTGTGAGTGTGTGTTATGGGCTGAGCAAGCATGCATAAATACATTGTGTGTGTGTGTGTGTGTGTGTGTGTGTGTGTGTTGTGGTTAGGCCTTTCCCAGCAGCGACAGGGCAGTGATGTGGTGGTGGGGGTTTGATGAGAGGGGAGAGTGAGCCAACCACGCCTCAACACTTCCTGTCCATGGATACACTGTTGGCTGGGTTCTCTAACTTTCTTGCTCTCATTCTATCTCTCTCTCTCACTGTCTCTCTCTCTCTCGCTCTCCCTACCTCACCTTCTTGCTCTTCTCCCTCCCCTCCCTCTCTCTGCCTCCTCAGCCATTGTATTTATTCTCCTTCTGACCATATCTGGCGCACTCCCTTTTCTTTTTTCCTTTCCTCTTTCCAACAATATTATTATTATTATTAATATCATCTTTTTTCTTCATCCTGTGTAGCTCTTGACTTTCTCCCCTGTGGACTAACTGATATATGCTTAATTGGTACCACTTTACAACAAAACTCCCCTTATGAAGGATTTATAAATGGTTTGTTACTAGGTTATTAACTTGTTTGTTGTTGGTTGTTAACAATTTATAAATCATAAACAATTATAATCAAGTTACCATACATTGATGTAGGCTAACTATTTGGCAAGATCAGTTAATGCTTACTACTCATTAATCTGACTAATGAGTTACTACCATGTATAACGGGTAACAATGAGCCTTATTGTAAAGTGTGAAACAGATCATTGTTTATTAATGAGTTACTATTATTTATAACTGGTAAAAGGAGCCTTATAGTAACTCATTAACAAATGGTGATGTATTTTACACTTTACGCTTTTGCCTGTAACAAATGTTTGTTACTGATAAATAGATGGTGCTGACGGTGGTTAATTGTTAGTAACTTAACAAACGTGATGAAGCAGCAGGTACAAATGCTGATGATGGGGATGATGGCTTAACAGTACAGAGAAGTGTGGGCTCACTATTTGGCAAGCAACAGGTCATGGTTGCCCTTTCTGTCTAATGTTTTATATAATGATTTAATAAAATGTTAACAAGCTAATTAATAAATTACTTATAAACTATGTATAAATCCTTTATAAGGGTCGTAATTAAGAAACTGAGGCTTTTCTGTTGCATTACAAATTTGTCTCTGTCACGGTTGTATAACGGCTAAATGTAATATAACAAACAACAAATAATTTAAGCCTGATTAATTAATTAATCCTTCCTTCCTTTTGTCAGTGTTCACTTGATACTGCATGTATTAATGTCAGTAAATAAGAAATTTAAAGACATCATTTAACACTTTTAAGGTAAACCATTAATGAAATGGAAGGACTTGAGCCAAGGGTAAGAATGACAGATGAATATATTAAGTGCATCTTAATTTGAGCTAACGGTTCATAATATGAGGCATGAATGATTAATTTGAGGGAATAATTTTTTTATGTATTTTTTTCATTGGTATTTAAAAATTGGGGGAGTTACATGTTAAAATATCATAAATAAAGTCGATGCATATAATCACAAATATCTGTGCACTATTCAGCACAAAATTGACAAGCAAACCCCCTTCCCATAACCCTCCCATTGGCTCCCTCACACCCCACCCACCCTGGACCTTATGGCCACAGAGGACAGTTATATTGTAAGGATTTTATTATAGTAATCGCTTGTTTCCAATGTGAAATGTTTTCTGTTTTTTTTTCCTGGTGCATGTTGGCAGCCCAGTGTTCCATGCTTGCTCTGTCTATGAAGGCAAGAAGCCATCTTTGTATATTGACAGAATGAGGAGCTTTCCATCTACAAGCTCTGAGCACCTTGGCAGCTGTCAGGCCAGCTAGCCAGCAACGTCTCTGGCCAGCTAACACACAGTTCCAAGTTGGAGCTGTCATTAGGTATTAAGGCTTCTGGCAAGTAAGGAATTGTTTTAGACAATATGCTTGATAGCATCTCTGAAACCCTCTCCCACACCATATGAAAAAATGTGCCCAACATATTTTAAGTGCATAAAGTGCAGTTTGGTCATTTTAATGGGATTAAAATGAATAGCTTGATGGTTGGGGTTCCTGGAAGATAGTTGCATGTTCTTCAAAGATTAGTTTCCAATTGTGGTTTGAACTATTTGAGGAGAGGTGAAAGCTTTTACTCATTGACAGAACAGCATAAATCTCTTCTGATTAGGTTTAGGTAAAGATAGAGAAGTATTGACATCAATGTAATGGACCTGGAAAAACAGCAGAAGCTCCAGTGGGTTAAAAAAACTATAGTAAGATTAGGTGTCATACCTTATTACTGATATATACAGTGCATGAAAGTTATCGTCGATTTCTATTAGATCCACACACAATTTATCAATAATGGATTTAATACAGGTTATATTTGATATATATATTTATATTTTCTTATTTATGAATATGATTTAAATTGGAATCCAACCCAATTGTTTTATCCGATGCATCCCTTCAATGCGTCCCAGAGAATATCAGGATTATAGCTGTGTAGTAGATACCAGGCGTTGTTCTCTTGACTAAGTCACCTCCTATTATTGGAGCAAATTCAAATTCAGTGTTTTTATGTAAGCAACTCTCCCCTTAGTATCTCTCCCAGATCTGTGTATTGAGAGTTATGTTTGGCAAAAATTACTACACCTTTATTCTTTTTAGTATTTGAAGAAGATGGCAATCGCATGATAGATTCTACTCTGCATTCTGGCATCATTTTCCAATATATGAATTTCTTGAAAAACGGCCACCTCCACCTTTTTTTCTCTGTAGGAAATCCATAATGCTTTTTCATTTCAGAGGGAACAGGGTAGAATTTAATCTATTTGAAATTTTCTCTCCTGATACCCTCAAGGCTGTGTAGCTCGCTATTAGCAGTTTTCCTTTCAACTCTCAGCAGCTAGCAACAACTAGCTTGCTCCACCAGTTCTGCACCTAGTAGCTAATTGCTATAGAGCCTGATTGGAGTCAAGACCATAATCTATGGTAAAGGCTTCAGTTAGTAAAATGTCCCTGAAATATCAGGACTCTGAAGTTACGAAGTGCAGTCAGTATAATTGTTGTGTCCCTTCAATTTAAAAGTACTATAGGTAGGAATGTGAAGCAATTGACATGTATTAATCACTTTTTACTGCCAACGGGTGAACATATTAATGTAACTTAAAAAATGACTCCAATCCAAAGGATGTGACATTTATGCAGCGGCATAGTGCAGCAACAGTGTGCAACACTAGCTAATGTTATCTTAGAAATGGAGTCACCAACCAAAAATGTTTTTATCTAGAGGCCTGTCTGGCCATATGAGAATGGACCAACATCAAGTGAAAACAAGGGTCAACATCAACTGAAAATGGTATTACGCTTTGTAAATCTTGTGTCAAAGAAACAAAGTTAGTCAAACTATGCATAGCCAGACCTGTTTCCACACTTTGTTTTAATGCTGTGCCAGCACTGTCTGCACTGTCTAAAATATAGTTTATCGTCAAACTATAATAGCAATGTAACTTAAGTTACCTCATTTATCAACATGATGCCGGCTCCTTCCATCCACTCACAGATATGTCGCCACCAGTCTCTTGTATGGAGTCCCAGTTGAGACTCCACATGGTCTGGTGGCAGAGGAAGTGTAGGCTGCTCCTTCTTCTTCTCCTTCTATCCTTAAATTGTCACTATCCAAGAGCCATACAGGCCTGCCCTTCTTTCCCAGTTCATCCATCATGTCACTGTTTTGGCCGATGCCCAGGATGCTCGCTCGTGCCTACCTACGGAGTTCAGGCATGCGCGTGAGCAATAGGATGCTGTCTGCAGTTTACTTAACGAGCATCGGCGTCATTAATAACAAGGGAACGTTACATATAAAACCTTTAACAAGTCAAACCCTAGAATTCCCTAATAACAAATAATGATTTAAGGCTAACTGGACATGGCAAAGGTGTAATGCTAAAGGGCTGATTAAGAAATGACTAGTTTGAGGAAATAATTTATTAAGATTTCCCCTCCTGACACCCACTGAGCTCTCAAGCTTGTTATTTGCAGTGTTAGCTAGTAGCAAATTGTAGCAGTATCATTCTGTTTGTCACAGCTGGCAGTTAATTGCTAAGCTGTTCCCAGTCAAACACAGCACAAAATTAGCTTTGTAATGTAAGGATACTGAAATCCTCTTACATGACTGAGTTTTACGTCTCCTTTCACAACATTTGTTACCAAGCTGTGAACATCTATTGCACTGAATTTCCGTGACTGTGGAAGCCAGAATAGGCTGTTTTGGAGAAATAAAGAAGATAAAAAAAAGTGTTGGAACCTTTAAAATGGCTGGTCTAACATCTGTGTGTGTGTGTGTGTGTGCGTGTGTGTATGTGGTGCAGATTTCATCCATAAGATCACAGTGCAAGCATCCCCAGGCCTGGAAAAGAGGCGCAACTCTCCTGATTTGGGTTCAGGCTCGTCGCCCTCCTTCGGCCCACGCTTCCGCGCAATCCAACGTGAGTGCTGTCACTTTTCCCTTGCATACACACATCTACAAAACCAAAGAATGCGGGATCTCTGGCCTCCTTGCAAACACACACAGACTCTGTTGCAACATCACATCTCTCAGTTTCCAGTACTCTCTTTCATGTGCTCTCAACCACCCTCTCGTCTTCTTTGTCTTCCCCTGTTTCCCTGTGGGCCCCCTCTTGCTCTCTCTGCCCCTCCCTGGCCCGCTGCTCTCTCTCTCTCTCTCTCTCTCTCTCACACACACCCTTTTCCCTTTTCAATAGTCTGTTCCAGTCCAAATATTATCTGACTTCCTCTCAGTGGCTCAGCATTTCTCGTCAGCCTTTGTCCACTGCAGCCCTGCTCCGCTCCCCCTGTCTGCGGTTAGCTCAGTGCTGCAGCAGGGGGAGCCATTGAGCTGTATTTTCCAGGCAGAAAGACTACAGTTTTATATGCATGAAGTGGCTACAGTGCGGTTGACTGAATTAAAAATAAGCTGGGAGGAATTCATTGCTCCAGGAGAAGGGGTTGAGAAGGGTTGCAGCAGCGGCAGAGATTTACAATACTCCTCTGCTTGTCAGGCTCTTAGACAAACGCCCCGAGATTGCTTCCCTTCGAAGGGAAATTGTAGGCAGTAGGTCACAGGGCGTCTTAACAAAACCCAAAAGGAAATTTGTGGTGTAGCAACAGGCTGTGAACAGGATTTTTATAAACAATTACCACTGGGGGTTGACATAAAAACACAAATTGCGGTGAAACATTTATCTGTAAAAGCGGTTTGTAAATCCAAAACATCTGTCAGCTTCATTTATTCATTAAATAGAGGGCTGGTTTTCTTTACCTCCTAATGACTCTCTTTAATGGCAATCACTAAGCCATGAGTGTGCTTCTCATTAAAATGTGTTTAGTGGATATTTATGCCTGCCCTCTCAGTAGCATGCAGTGATTTATTGCCAGATCCTCCCAAATCTAGATGTTTACTGACTTTGATGATTCCCTGACTTTTCCTTTAGCGCCACCTCCAGGTTACATCTTCAGTTTTTTTCTTCAGGTAGATACAGTATCTCAACATTTACTTGAAGGAATAGAACTGAGGACTTTTTTTTTTTTATGTAGCATCATCATTAGGTCATTTTTGCTTTGCCCAATACTTTAGTTTATGACCAAATACCTACAATATTGATGACATTTACCTCAAGCTCAGATTTACTTTGTTCCCAGTGCTAATTAGCATATGTTAACATATTAACAAATTGAACTAAGATAGTGAACATGGTAAACATTATATCAGTTTAACATCTGCGTGCCACTGTGAACAAGTTAGCATGCTGACATTAGCATTTAGCTTAAAGCCCTGCCACGCCTACTGTAGGCAGACTTGCTAGCATGGCTGTGGACTCCTACTCCTATTGTTTCATATGTAGCAGTAAGTGAATGTCATCTCGGTTATTCTGTATAACAGAAGTAGCCATGCAGATTTAATATGAACATGGAGTAGATGATGAGTAGAGGAGTTCATTCGGAAATGTACAAAAACATTACAACCATCAAAATATTATGACATCATCAGAGACATATTGCAAAAAGAACATGTTTACATAGGAAGGGGAATTTTTTTCATGCCACATTTTGATCTTGATGATATTGCAACACTGACACTATCAACTGACTTCTGTGCTTGCTTTGAAAAACAATGTGTTGGAGAGCGTGAGGCAAAGTGCATGAGCCAGGCCTCCAGTGAAGCAGAGGCCAAAGAAAATAATACAACTTGTCCATTCAGAGAGCATATTTACTTTCTCCAATTTCTGAAGCTGAACTGAACTGACACAAACCACTGGGAATAAGCAGCACCAGAATTCTGTGAAATAAAATAGCAGCTTTAAAGTAATGGAAAGGAATCAAGCTTCATCACAATGAAGTGCAAGACATTTAATGTAATTTATTATTATTATTGTTATTATTATTATTATTATTATTGTTATTATTGTTGTTGTTGTGGGTTTCCTTAGTATTTTTCATACATGTAGGTGTGTCTTTGACAATTTATAACATTAATAAGTGGATTATTGTCAATAATTAGATCAAGGACATAGTGTTATTAAAGCTTTTAAATGTTATGTAATAATGTGATGATCCCTATACTTGACTTTATGTGATTTCTTCGATAGTCAACTTTATATTTGCAACCAGATATCATTTATTAAACAGTGTTTAATGAGACTCAAGACACGTGCTTGTTGGAGGTCTGAGCTCTACTGAGCGCTTTTTTTTGAGTAATATAAATAATTATTGATAAAAATGTAAGTATCATGATTACCATTACCAGCACTCACTGAGTATAAATTGATCATTTATATCTACATGTGAATGCCAGCTTGTAGTTTATAGTAATGTTACCCAATGTGAACATTGTTTGCCACATTGGTTAGTTAGCTAAAGAGATAAAGCCAAATTAAACAGTCATCATTGCCCTTAATTTCCTCCTCAAACTCCAGTGGTGGAAAGAAGTTTACGCCTCACAAAGTGATTCACACTCATTTGACTTATATTTGAGGGCATGTGCACGATGTAATTATATAATCTGTCACATTCTCCAACCTGTCGCTCATCCAGCCGAGGATAGTCGGCAAGAGCACTTGTATTTGCAGCCATGCCTCTCATTTTGTCGCTGTCATGGTGAGTGGAGTCAGAGCGCTGCAGACTCTCTGCCCCGCTGTCACGCTTCGACAAAACTCATAGTAAATACAGCTCCTATTAAACCACTGTCATTCTTTTTTTTTTTTTTAAAGTACCAGTACTAATAAAGTGGAGTACAGTACTGTTTTTAACAGCAGGGGATTGTGCTAGCAGCTCAAGCTCGTTCGTGGGTATGGTAGTGGCACGAGAGGTAGTGTCACAGCCTGGGAGAAGCATGTGAATGGTATTTGAAATGCCAACTTTTATTAGCATGCTGCACTTCCTCAGGTGAGATTGGCTCCTTTTCACACCTCCTGCTCTGTAAACCATTTAGAGGTTACCCATTAGACTGAATCCACATGCTGAGGTAGTGTTAGCACAGTTTAAGAGGAAATCAGGAAGCATTGAAGTCTCATGAATTCTGGCTGTAGCCGGAGTCAGTGAAATGTCACTGTGTTGGAGATAATTGTAGGTCTGCCATCACCGTTGCTGAAACCTGCCTTTTTAAAAAGCTCACCTCATTAGAATACAGCTAGACAGAATGCATAGTAATGATGTGCTCGCTGATAATAATTTCACCTTGTTTTCTTCTCTGCAGTCAGTCCCAGTGACAACAGCAGGACGTTTGGGTTGAGCGCCGTCTGGCCCCTGGAGGCCCCCTCTCTCAAACAAGCTAATGGAGACCTGAGGTTGGGCCCCCACTGGAGGCCTCAGAGCCCGAAAAGTCCCAAAAGCCCCAAAGTCCTGCGCCTTAGTCCCCAGGAAAGCAGGTACAGCAGTGGTGCCCTTTTCTTTTACATGTAAACATTTAACATCCTAAAACGATAAGATTTAAAGCACACCGTGCTTAAATGTTTTTGAATTTCTTTTTGCTTGCAGTCTCTCGATGAGAGCGAAGCTCCTGGAGTCAGACAGCAATGAGAATGGAGAGTCCAAGGATGACTTTGAGGAGTACCGACCCTCCACTCCAACCCCTCCCCCTGCTCAGAACGGTATCTGACGCCCTCCATCACCAGCCTAACCGCCAGTCGCATCTTCCATTAGCCATTGTGATAATTCACACTGGCATGAGTGTGAATTATAAATAGAGGCTAAATGAATAATAAATACATTGAGTGTTCCTTTTCTGTCTCTTTCTCCTTCTCTTGTCTTTTTAAAACTTTAAAAAAAAAAAATGTTTTTCTCTCTCTGCAGGCTCCTCAGTGAAGGACAGCATGCGGCTTCCTCTACCTCACGGAGACTCGGGCAGCGAGGAAGGGGGTTCCTCCCCGGCTGGCTCCCCCAGGCCTGAGAGGGGTTCCCTCAGTGGCATGTTTAAGAGCACCCACCGGGCCCTACTTGGCGGTGGCTCCCTCCTGGCCTCTGTAGGACTGGGTCGCTGCCTTGATATCCCCCCAAGGGTGCCCCCTCGAACTAACCCCCCTTCCCTAGAGGACCGCACCACCTTCGAACTGGAGATCTCCTCCCCTAAACCCCTCATTTCAGAACCCCCAGTAGTGGACGATCTCATCACCTTCTCCACCTCTGAGCCGCTCCCCAGACCGCTCTTGGATTTAGCTCTGCAGTACCAAGAACTTAAGCCCTTGCCCCTGACTCCGCCACCGCCAAACCCCCGTGAGAGGAGCGGCCAACGGACGCCGCACAGTCCACAGACTCCCAGGACTCCCGTGCAGCAGGACAAGCCCAGCCCGGGGGAATGGATGCCGTGTTCCCATTCTACCAACGGGGAGCTGGGCTGTGAGGCCTGGGAGCACAGAGCTGACAGGAGGAGGAGGTCCAGCCAAGGACTGCACACCACTCAGCTCGGTCAGTCTGAATCAGTTTTTTTCACCTTTAAGGGGCATTTCACCAATTTTTAAAAGTCAGTTAATGACGACTACTACTACTCACACTTTATCAACTCTAACAAAGTTACTCAAGTGACATCACTTGAGTAACTCTGGGCCTGGCAACTACAGTTTCTGTGAAATGTGAAAGTAGTTTTCAAAGCAATAAGCAATAAAGAAAAGTTCTTGTTGACATGCATTATGGGAAGTGAAGGAAATCCAGTGTTTTGGGAATGTGACTCATAGTCAGGATATCTCAGTGTCTGAGCGAGAGCCCCTTGAAATTACAGATTGGATCTTTGATTTTGTTTTTAATTCAGCTCCACCATTTATCCACATTTCTTCAATAGCACCAAGCATGTTTTAGGAGGTTGGCTCTGACTTTTATCTTGAATAATGTACCTCCTCCTCAAGACAATGTTTCCTCACAGTTCTTGTAGAATTATTTCAGTGCCTTTTTTTTTTTTTTAGCAAGATCTTTCTGGCACAAGGGAGGCTTCGGTGCTGCACAAGCTTTTTAATTTACATCAAAGCTTGTCTTCAGCGATTTGCATATCTCAGGTAACAGCTGGCCCTCCATACTTCACCGCTAATACTTGCTAAGCAAAGCTAGCATCCAATCTTCTGTTGTTTTCCCTCTTTCAAGTCAGAGTTTTTCTCGTATTGCAAAGTTGGAGATGAAGGCAGAACATCATGCGGCGCAGCTGAGGTCACACGGCCTGAAAGTGCTAAATTCAAAATTTCTGATCATCTGTTCTTGACTTCACCGACACTGCAGTGTCTCTCTGGCCACCTCCTCAGAAGATTTGGGAGTTTTGCTGGAGCTCAGCAGTGCATCTTGGGTGCTATTTATACTGCAGTTTGAGTTTTTCATATTTAAGCATGTCAAATATGTGTTTATGTCATATGTAGATAATACATACATCACACACAATAAAACAACACATTCAAGAAGAATAGCACTCATTTTCCCCCTCAAAATTACATGTGAAAATAACCAATTTTCTCAGGGGGCATATTTGTATCATATCATATTTAGTTTTAATTCACGTGTCATGCTAACAGATGTGATCTGCATATCAGCAGCACATCCATTTACAGTACATTCACATGTTTTTCCTGAAGACTTAATATGCATTTCTTAGAAGCACTGACACATTTTAGAGCTGTAATGACGGAGGCGTGGGTATTGGTTGTTTTAAGAGCGAGTGGGCTTTACGAGGGGCTTTAAGAGTGGCCCCTGGTAACATTTCACACTCTATATCTGGTCCGTTTGACTCACAAAGCCTTGGATTCTCCACAGAGCGATTCTTACAGCTCTGCCCCCAGGTACCGAGCAGACATGCCTCGCCTGTTCCGCTGCTAACAACCGTAATCTCACAAACCGCATGCGCTCATTACATCGGGCACGCAGAGGCGAAAAGCCACACATAATTAAACAGCGAGTGTTTTAGCTAAACATCTTATTATGTTTATTGAGTGTGATGACTCAGGCTCAGATGCAGAGACATACTGCCACAAGGTTGCTGGCTGTGAGTGTCTCGCTTGAAAGAGGGAGATGAATTCAGAGGATTCCTTCACTGGCGTTCTCGTCTGCTCTCATGTGACTCCTGATTGCTCTTTTTTGTCAGCTGAATAGCTTAGCATGCTCAGAGAGTTGCTGTTGATGTAAATAACGCCATTTGGCAGACACGTCGCATTTGGAAATAGCAAATGTTCATTCAAGCTGATTTACTCTGAGTTAAATGTTCTTGTCAGTGTTAATTTACACTTGCTGTTTTCTGCTCGCAGCTCTGTCAACTAGTTACACAGCACTATGTTGTACTTAATGTAGACTAATTGCATCAACATCCTGTGCTGGTGATTGTTCCGTCTCTTTTTTTGCTACAGTAATCTACGACTTTCATGTTTCTGTTTGAATCAATTTCATCACACAGATTTATGTGCGTAGCAGAATGTGTGAGAACAAATGCAGAAGTCTGATTGGATAGGAATGCATTTAAGAGCAGCAGAGCAACGCTACAGCAGTTTGAGAGTAATTTCCAGATTAACAATTAAAGCCTCCTCAAGCAAGAAAGTGAAGGACGGGATGATAAAGATGTTTAATATTTTGAATATTCAGCCTTTCGCTCATTTTGTGTCTCTGTCTGACAGTTCTGTTCACTCGTCATGGATAGTACGACTTAGCCCTTGACAATAGTGGTATAATGTCTTCTGTGCTTCTGGAGGAGTTTTCTATAGTCCAAGATAATAACCCTGATGATGTCATAGAGTTTGAACTAAAGGTAACCATCATGACATCACTATTATAAACTGCAGGCATGGAGGTTGAAAGAGGAGGGCAAGAGGCAGATCAGGTCTAATGAAAGATGCTTTTGAGTTGCATCATGGGAACTGTAGGATCTAGTTTTTTTGAAAGCTTGGGACTGAACTCTCAATTTTTGTCTCTTGGAAGCCCCTCAGTTGTGTAGAATTGTAGTCGTAAATATGTGGAATGCCCCTTTAATGGTTTTTCTTTCTCTTCTTTCCAGTTCTGGATCTGCCCTTGTGCCAAGACACACAGGAGTCTGATGACAAGCCTGCAGTGCCCTATGCTCTCCACCCCAACCCTGCCCTCTGGAGCCCCAAAACCCGGCGCCTGGAGGTCAGCGTCATCCCCCGGCCTCGCCCGTCCCCCATCCGCCCTCGCATTGACCCCTGGAGCTTCATCTCAGCCGGCGGCGGGAACTCAGGTGGGGGCCGCAGCCCTAACCGCTCGGACAGCAACCATCTGAGCTACCAGCCCTCCCCTACCAACCCGTTCACCAACTGTGACCCGTTCCCATCACCAGACTGTGACCCATTCGCCCTCAAAGCCGACCCCTCGAGCGGCTCGGACACAGCGTCGCCCTTTGACCCGTTCTTGGCTCCCTTTCCCACATCCCGCTCTGCCCCGTGCTCCACCAATGGCTCGCCCACGTTGCCCTCATTCCGCATTGCGCCCCTCAACCCAGCTGACTCGCCCCTGATTGACCTGGGCTGGGCGGCCTGCAGCAAGCCCCTGGATAGCACCAAAGAGAGAGCTCACCCCCGCAGGACACTGGGGCTCAAGCCCTTCAAGTCCCCGACGCAGCTCCGAGACGACAGGTTCTGAACCCGGCCTCGCCTGTGGCTCTCGTGGCCGACTCTCACTTACGGATGTTAAAAAGTGCAGTTTTTAATCACAGGAACACAGTCCAGGACGGTTCCACTACTATGTCCTATATCTTACAGGAAAAGTGGTACATTGGATTGTGGGATAGTTACCTGTGAACCAAAACTGGTGCCCATTTCATTCTCCCTCTCTATCTCTGTTTCTCTATCCCTTTGAAGGAGCAGAACACAGATCACTAGTCCCATCTTCAGATTCTATCAGACTGCTCATATCACCTGCTTTCATCTCCCCCTACCTTTGAAGCATTGTGACAATGCAGAGGTGGATAAGGCGACTTGCACATCTTCATCTGCCTCTACCTCTCTGCAGACTGAAAGCATTCGGGACAATGGAAAATTGGAGTGCCTTATTTCGTGAAGTGTTTTTAATATATATCTTTTCAAGGTTCCTTGAATGGTTAATCTGGTGCGTAGGGAAGATGCTATGAATTTGGCTTAAATTTGCAAATCAGCTTAGCATTGCTGTGGAGGAAAATGTCGTCTGCGCGTGCATGTGTGCGTGTATGTCTAGACTCATTGTTCAAGGAAAGCTTAGTTGTTTTTTTTGTTGTTTTTTTTTTTTTTTTTTTTTCAAACAGCATCTGTATGTTGCATTATGGGAGAAAACACTCAGAGTGGATATTCTAGGCTGCTCATGAAATCCAAGACAAAACCATGACCCAAGCATTCCACTTGGAACCAGATAACATTCCAGTCACATTCCCCGGAAAATGCCAGGGATTGGACAGATTCATTCGGCTGGCAAGCGACAGAGCACAGGAAACAAGACGGGGGAGCCCTCTGCATTCCCTTCATATGCCAAAGAATGCCACTGTGACAGGGCTGGGACAAAGAGCGTCTGCAAAGTTGTTTTTACCTCCACAGAGTGCCAGACGGGTGGGTTTTCCACACTGGACAATACAGAGAGAGTTGAGACGATCACAGAGAGTATTTAAAGACAACTTTAATATACTTTTCTGTGGTTAGTTGACTTATTTTCCACTTTCCAGACTGTCTTATCACTGCCCATCTGATGCTTTAGGAAGGTTCAACCAAAAATGTGTTTCCTACAGTACATAGGTATGGACGCTTCATTGAATACATTTTTACAGTCCACCAGAGTAGGAGTGGCCTCAAAAAGCCAGCCCACAATTTCACAGTGACTTCCATATCGACAGAAAATCTACCATGCGTGTTCTAGAAGTGATAAATATTGTTCCAAAATGATCCACCAAAATTCCTTTCTGAAAAATTATGAGCCAAAAAGCTTTTCAATGAGTGCTTCATTTTACCACAATAACACCAGATTTTAAAGGAACAGTTTCGACATTTTAGGGAATACACTTATTCACTTTATTGCAGCAGGCGAGATGAGGAGATTGACACCACTGTCATATCTGTCCATTCATTATGAACCTGGAGTCAACATCTGGATACCCAGCGGGCGCACAGCTGTTCACCAATGTCTTGAGATGCTGATATTATGGTGAATGTAGGTTGTGATTTCAGGCGACCAAATCTATTTTTTTTTGTCTGATGAGTCCAGCGTCTTTCTGATGTTACATTGACGTCCGGTGCTAGCTGGGTAGCTTAGCTTAGCATAAAGACTGGAAGCAGGGGGTGGCAGTTAGCCCAGCTCCGTCCGGAGGTTAAAAAAAAAGAATCTCATCTAACTTTTAATGGAGGAATCTCTGTTTGTCTGTATTTTTGCTTTCCCCGACAATCATTCATCCAATCAACTTCAGATTTCACGGGTGTATCACTGATGACCCAAGAAAATGCGGTGTCATGACTGTGAAGTTTTTTTTTTTTTTTTAGGATGAGCGGCTCTTGAGAAAGCTTCAAACATCGTGACACATCCAGTGTTAACTATTGAGCTTTAGAGGTGCTGGTAGGTAAATGTTATCACTTTTATCCCTGTTTCTGGTCTTTATGCTAATCTAAGCCAACCTTCTTCTGACTCCTTACAGACATGAGAGTGGTATCAGCCGTCTCATCTTCTCACGTCCTTAAAGTTGGTGACAGATGACATGCACCAAGTATCATCAAATGAGGAAGCTTGTGAGATGTAGGCTGGCTTTTCAACTAGAGTAGCAACGCTCCTCAACTCTCCTCAGTTATTTTGGTTAAAAAAAAAAAAAAAAAAATCCATCCTAAACCCATTTTAACAGTACTAAAAAGATCTGGTAGGATTCTCCGAATAACTGTAATGTCATGTTGAGATACACTCAGTAAAGATACAACAGAGAATATAACACACGTATAACACAAGGTAAAATATTCCACCAACAGCAGCCTCCACAGGTCAAAAGCACAAGCGCAGCAGTGGAAAAGCTAGCTCTTCCACCTTTGGTTCACAAACATTATCATTGTTGGTCGTTTTTAAATACTAGCGGGTTCAGGCAGTTTCTCAGTGGTCTTTCAAAAAGCACCCTGGGAAATGTGTGAGGTGAGGCAGGTTGAGGGGAAAGTGGCTGCGGCAGCAAATGCATCACAAAAGAACTCCTGGAATGGGTTGAACATCACAGACTGATGTTGCATAACAGTATCCAAGTCAGCTGGTTCCATGTAGCCCATTAACATAATTGGCGTCGGTCAAGCATGTAAGCAACTGAAAGAGACCCACTTGGCACATGGCACAAACTCATCGTGTTAGCCGCGTCTTTACTTGAGCATTACAAGGTACAAATACTGATTGAGTTCATCACTGACACCGTGTCATTGGAAGACAATAACAGCTTTGTTCCGATGAAGAGCGAAAACCTCGTCTCCAAAGGGGAAAGCTTTGAGATTAGCCTAATAATCCTACTGACAAATAGAGGAGGCTGATAGCGATAATTAGCCTCTTGATAAGAGCAGGGAGCATTAACAAAGCATTCAGATATTTGGTTAATTAATTTGCCCCGACGTTATGAAAATGCCCTGCATCCTCCTCGCAAGGTATCGAGTCGCTTCCCGCATCAGCTTACGCCTCGATTGAAGCCAGGCTCTTTTTTTATGCATAAAGTTCCAAAGGCAGATTGAGCTGTCTTTTCTCCCTTCCCTTCCATTTCTCTCTGTTGCCACTGGCTGTTCGGCTGCTGACCGGATGAAATCTTCACTGTCAAGGCTCACCTTTTTCTACGTCCCCCTCAGGTGATGTGGGAGATAGCGCTCTTTTTTTTTTTTTCTTTTTTCTTTTTTCTTCTTCTCACTCCTACTCCTTTGCTTCCTTCTGCTTCTCTGGAAAGTTTTCTTGAGGGCAGTTGTGTCCTGACACTGTGGAGCGTTCAATTCAATAACAGCCAGGTTTTCTATCCGCCAAAAAGAAATGGCATTTGTGCAAGTCCATTTACTGAGGAGTGCTCATTTACCAGAGACAATTGAATTTGTTTGGAATTGAAACAGGAGCTTTCTATTGCACATCAATTTGTCTGTTCATCATCTAGTGAACATCCAAGTAATACTCAGCGGTAGCAAAAGAGACACAGTGACAGACAGACTAGATTGTACAATGTACTCTCCATCCACATCAAAAGGCAAATGTGTTTATGGCAGATCTGAATGGCCACACTGAAAGATGGGCTGAAAAGCCTGCTGTCATAGAGACGGGGGAGATGTCGTGAACCGTATGAATGGGAATAATGATGCACACTTTTGTCAGTTCTTGAAAGCATTTTAAGGTGTTGCCCTTGTTTGTACGTACGAGAATTGACGGAAGTAGTTGTGTCGGGAACAAAAAAAAAAAAGAGAGCTTTAGAGCGTTCACACGCTGCCTACTCTGCCGCGATACTTGCTGTTTTAAAGTGGACATGAGTGTCGGATTGTCGGTTTCAGAATGATGCAAAAAAATAGTTGTACGAATTCTTCGGGTTATGACATAGGAAAAGGTATCTACCAGGGGGGCTGTTAGACGATATGACACTTAATTTGAAGCTTTAACCCTGAAAATTCATTTGATTCCAACAACATGTATGCTTAGACAAGCGGCTGCGGTGCGAATGTCATTTTTCACATAATCAGCATGAACCTGGTGGGTTCAAAAGGTATACCCATGAGGGGACGGGAGGATCATCCTCCCTAGTCGGAATGTCCTCCTTTGGATCTTCAGATTTTGCTTAAGCTTAAGGGCGTTACTGTCATGTTAATGTTGAAATCACGGCAGAAAAAGCAGCAGCCGCTACATCGTATTTCTTAGTTTCTCCTTAAAATGTAGATGCAGTTTCTGAGAAAGCACATCCAAGAGATCTCACTGTTTTGCTGTTGTTTTATATTATAGTATTTGTTATTATATATATATATCTCTCACCTGCTGTCACCTGGACGTGAGCAGTGTGGATCTTCTTCAGGGATGGCAAACGTCGGAGGTTTAATATAGAATTTGTCTCTCACAGCAGTGTTCCCCATCTTCCTCTGATCTCTTCTCCTCGCCACTAACATTTTGCAGACAAGACAAGTGATGAGTTATTGGCTCGTCTCTTTGTGTCAACACACAAAGCCACAACAGCTATCCTCTGGTAGTCATTAGGTTCAGATAGCTATTATTGTCAACAGAGCTGTGTGAGCAAAAAAAAAAAAGATACATGAAAGAAATTGAGATGATTGAAACGTCTAGCAGATTATTTCTGTCACAAATTCACTGCGTGTGTCAAGTATCCACTTCAGCCTGCCACTCATGCCTCGTCTGTATGTGCTAGACTTTTAATTTTCCCTCAGACCTGATGCTGAGAAGCGTTACCCGTCGTTCCCCATTAAGGGTGTGCACATTGAGTAATTGACCACATAAAATATTACTTATATATAACAGCAGTCACCTTGCTCTTAACGTATGATTAAGAGGAGAGTGCCGGCATCTCCTTTACCTTTTATGATAAAGGTATTGTCTGTAGTCAGAGTAGGAATTCTTCTTCTCCTGGTAATAATTTCTGGAAGTGGTTCATTTTAAGTAGTGAAAAACCTGTGCATGGAAATACATTACAATAC